GCAGAATTTCCATTTCTCCCACATCACTCCGTTATTTATCAGCTCCAAGAGGATGGAGTTAACAAACCCTGCTCAGGCTGGGAATTCTGCATCCTCTACTTCCCAAATTCATGGAAATACAGAGATAAATCAGGTGGGATGGGCCCTTCACACCCCTCGTAGGCCTTGTCAGAGAATATTCCACAAAATGAAGGCTTCCAAGTGGCATTGCTGGAAAAAAAAACTGGAAAAAAAAGAAAAAAAACTGGAAAAAAAAGGAAAACCTGGAAAAAACTTAGTGTTCTCAAGTTGTAGCAATTAAAAAGAATTTAACGCCCGTCTGAGGTTCACAAGGCACAGGTTTGGTGCCAACTGCCAAATCTCAGAGCAGGGAATGTGTCATCCCCTATCCCAAATTCCCAAATTCCCAACCTTTTCCTCTCAGTTTAACACCCCACAGAGCTGACTCTGACTTTCACAACTCCACCAAACAGCTTTTGGAAATGATTTTTCCCTGCGAGAGTTTGGGGACCTTTTTTTTCAGCACCTTCAGCAGACAGGAGATGCTTTTAATTCACAAGGATTTAACTACTTGAATATTTAAGTATAAACTCCAAAAYCTCTTTAAAAATATAACAAAATATTGATAGTTATTTAAATATATTAAAGTTATTTCAAATGTGATCAACTTAAAGGAAAATTCACCTGGAATTGTGGATTTTGAGAAGTTCAGAGCATCTTGATGCTCTACAGCACAGGCAGGAGAAGCTGAATTTTTTCCTTGCTTGTAAACCCATAAATATTTCATTAACAAATTTATATTTTTTTTTAAATCTCCCCAAAAGCTCATTGACCTCCTCTCCAAGGAGCTTTACAAGTGACTGTGAGCAGTTGAAACAAAATAATTTTGACTCAGGGCTTTATTTCATTAAAAAATTTATATTTTTTTTAAGTCTCCCCAAAAGCTCATTGACCTCCTCTCCAATGAGAGACTGTGCACAGCAAAAACAAAACAATTTTGACTCAGGGCTTTATTCCTTTGAATTTCAGTGTGAATTTGGTGTTTATGAAATGCATTGGATCAACAGCTCCGGGATAAAAAAAGTCTCTGAACAAAAGTTGATGAAGGAGTGGGGAAGAAAAATTCTGCTCTGTCACCCTGCTAATGGAATGAAAATAAAATAATATTAAATTAAATTTAAAAAAATTTAATTGAAAATTATTTTGTTTTTACAGGCCCATTTCAATTCTGGGACTCCTTTTGGTTAGAAAAGCTATCCAGCTGAACATTTCCAAGGAAATTTTTGCAAGAACAGCACTGAAAAAAGGAGGAAGTTTGTGCCACAGGGAAAAGTGATGAAAATTTTTTGAATAATTGCTCTAGAAAGACAAAAACRTGGGTGAGAAGTCAGTAGAGGGGGTGCAAGGCACACACCTTACATTAATTGTTAAGTATTAAAATTAAATTAGATTAAAAGTACTTAAATTCACATCAGGCATGCAGCTGAGATATTTGTGTGACGAGAAAAACTATCAATGTACAGTGAAAAAAGAAAAAAAAGGAGGGAAGGATGGAAGGAAGGGAGGGAGGGAGAGAGAAAGGAAGGAATTCTGGAAGGAATTTTGGAATTCTGGAAGGAATTTTGGAAGGAATTTTGGAAGGAATTTAGGAAGGAAGGAA